TATATTTTTTTCGCATAGTTGGGAGAGATGTAACTCTACCAAGGCAGATTATTTGATTGTTTTTTCTACTGTGGAAGAAACTTGTCATTTTTAGTTTCTAAGTGGAATTTTTGAGAATTTGTATACAATTAACTTTACAAAGTATGGTACCATAAGAAGCTGTTTACAAAACTTATTTTCTCATAAAATGACTTATTTAAAGAGGTGGCAGAAAAAATTTAATTCAATATACATATAGGGTTGCCACAGACGACTATTTACAACTATTTTTGACCTGAGGCAATTTTTTTTTTTGCCTAAAAAAAGCAACTATTGTCAGGAAAAGGAGACTATTTGGCGACTTTTCTGTACTCCTAGTGATGTTTTTTTTATAGCATAAATTGGGCTGACAACCTACGGGGTAACTTCCTTATTCTACTAAGTTTTTTTTATTTATGATGCATTAGTAAACTATGATTACTTCATTATATTTTTCTGGAAAGTTTTTTCCTAAATGACTGATTATAACATTCCTTTGCAATTACTTTAGTTTCTTAATTGTGCATTATGTTTTTCTAGATACTGATCCTGTATTCCTGATTTAATGCAGAAAACCCTTCATATTTACATTTGAAAAAACAGAACTATTTGTTAAAATAAATATATTTTATTTTCAGTTATGTTTAATATTTTGCAATGAAGCAATTTATTTAAAGAAAATTGGATTTTCTTCAAATTTACATAATAAAAAGCATTGTATTAATTTAGTTATTTCTTTTAATGTGATTTTGATACATAATAGTAGGAGTTATTAAAATTTCTCTTAAAAAGAGGGTTGCAGCTAAACCTAACATCTGTTGTCCCTTAAAAAAAAATGATTGCTATAATTTATTTTTAATAATTTATTATAAATATTTCATATATTTTTAACAATTAATTATAAAAGTTTCATAAGATTGTTAAAACAAAAAGTATCTTGAATAAATTACTGATAATTACATAATTACAGACACATAACTGATTTTAAGACTATTTTTTACTGATAACTGATTTTAAGAACCAAGTTCTTGTAATCAACTTTTTTCTATTATAGTATTTCTCTTCAAATAAATTATAACTATATCTATAAGTATGAGTAACAGGAAATGTATTGAATTATAATGTAGTTCAAAAATACTTACCAAGATAAAAAGTTTCCTCTATCTCAACAATTTACTTCAACTGTTACTTATATGCCAGAATTTGAAAATTTTCAAAGGACCTTTCGCTGACAAAACTGTAAAAATTTACAAAAATGAAAAAATATTTAAGAATGATAGCACACTAAATTTGCAAATAAGAATTTTTCATGCATGATATTTCTGAAATTTAACTCCAATCACCTAATCAGAGAATAGATCTGTTTTAGTTAGTGGTATAAAATATAGTAACTTTGACATCAATATAAATTTATAATTATTTGATGTTTTGTAAAGACTTCTCTAAACATGTATCTTTAGAATCTACCAAAAATGAAAATAAAAAAGTAAACACATTTGGAGTCGTAAATTAATGTTTTAGTGAGGAAAAATTAAGGACTATCAAAATTTTACAATCCATGATATAGGAAGATGGATGTAATAAACAAAACAGGTTTAGTCGCAGGTTGAAAGCATTTCCAATAATCAACTTTTAACTTCTCTTAGAATCAAACCTGTCTTGTTTATTATATCAGTCTTAATGTACTGCGCTTTGTCAGTTTTTAATAGCGTTTTCTCCCGCTTATTCATTAATTATTTATCACCAATGTATTTCCTTTTTTTATATTCATTTTTGATAAAGATTCTAAAAATTTATATTTAGGGTGTTCTTAATAGAACACTCTGTAAATTGGAAAGTAGGTGAACCCAATATAAGCTGGTGCAATATAATATTTGTAATATACTTNTCGGTATATATATATATATTACTGATTACATTTTAATATCAAGAGAACAAAAAATTTTTTTTAAATAATATATTTTGAGCTCTGATACAGACAATGATGTCCTAGAATCTTTTGTGTATTTAAAATTTTTAATTTAAAATATAAGAAAAAAAATTTAAGAAATTTAAAAATTTTACTCACTTAACTATAGCATAAATAGTAAAAATACATTAAAACATAATGAGCAAATATTTTTACAGAAGAAAGATTTCAAAAAAAGTATTTTATTCTCTGATACAGACAGAGGAATCATAGAATATTTTGAATCATGTCAAACTAAAAGTAAAAATTATACTAAATTAAACAAAACTTATTTCAAAGTTTAAATTTTTTTTTAACAAATTATGTTTTAATATAGAGAATAAAACTATGTTAAAATGTAACAAGCAATTATTTTTACAAAAGAAAAAAATATGTGAATTAAAATATTTGATACTCTGATACAGATAATGATGTCATAGAATCTTTTGCATCATAGGAAATTGGAAATTTAAAATAGTCAAAAAACAAAATATCAAGCTTCTTTTTGTAATTTATGACGACAATCAAAAAATAAATAAATAACTCTTTATTTGAAAGAAGGACAATTAAGCACTTTTTACAAATCCTAATGAAAATAAGCACTTTTAAAGGTTTTTAAGAAACGTAAATCATTGTATAAAAATGCTATGCACCCTGTAGTATTCAAAATATGGCAACCAAAGAATTTTTTATAGAAAGTATTTTTATTAGGAATAAATTTGAAATAACCTTAGTAACCTTTATTTTTAAATAATTCCTTATAAGTAAAACTATACACAAATAGTCAAAAAAGAAGAGGGTAATACTACACTAAAGCAAAATACAATGTGGATCTAGCACAAATAATGTATTTTCATATTTGAGCTTTATTTATTCACATATTTTTTTCTCTTAGTCATGCCCAAATAATTTATTATACTTTTTTCATAATAAGCATACAAAGAAAATATGCTTAAAAATAAAATTTCCGTCAACTTTAAATTTCAAAGTACTTCCCTAGTGGTGGCTTCACATAAGTTCTGGTCCTTCAAGTCCTACCTTTTTTCAGTAGTGATCCATTACATTTAGATATATTTGTTTTATTCTCATTTAAATTTTAATTTGCAACCACTAAATGTTTAAACTTTTTGAAAAAGGTTTAAAAAATATTTGATTATTTTCAAATACTCTGTACATACATTTACATATATAAATACAGAAAATATTTCTTTTGAAGTTTAAAATTAAACAGTCACAAAGTAACAAATTGTTTGCCATTCTTTGTTACTAATAAAATTAATTTAATTGATTTAACAAAATTTAAAGAAAATAATAATAAAGAAAAGCAAGATACATAGTATTTAAGTTCATTATTTTATTAATTTGTCCATTTAAAAACCAACAGTAAAAGTAAGATAAATCACCTGAATAGGCTCGCAAGACTTGCTATGGCAATCCCAAGCACAAACAGTATTATCAACTGAAACAGATAGTAAAACGAGATTCTTCATTGAACTTTGTAGCATCATCATAACCTAAACTGATGAATTATAGTAAGTGATGAAAAGTATAAATATCTGTCAACATTTAGATCAAATTCACATGCATACTAGAAGAACTTTCAAAATGCTAATATTAGCCTAACTAATAAACAGTAAGGTTTGTTTTTCCAGGCATTATAATCTTTCTCTCTCTCTTTTTTAAGGAATGTTTAATCCAATTACAAGTGTTTTTCTGCCTAAGATTTCATCTTAAAAATGACAAATTGAAAATATGCATTTTTTAAGTTGTTTTCTAAGGATTTAATTTAAGGATTTTCTAAGGATTTACATTTAAGATTATTTAAAAAACATATTTTGCTAAAAATTTATAAAATAAAAACATAACCTAATTGTACTTATTTCATTTATAAAAAATGGGAGGAAATAATTTAAAAGTTTAAGTAGAAATAAGACAATTGACAGTAAAACATAACTTCCAGACTTTTTTTTTTTCAACATACAAAATGACATTTGTGTATAATAATAAAATGAAGATTTTGTGTGTGTACATCTAACTCTAGAATTGTTTGTACTAGCGCCCTGAAATTCGAGCAGCGGCTGCAAAGGACAATTTTTGCCTCCTTTCCTAAAAATCGTTAGGCTTTTTTAATTAGCAGATGAAAAGTTTGTGGCTTATTTCATGTTTTAGTTTTTTGAAAAGCACTGACTTTTTTATCTGCTTCCCTTTAAACATTTTATAATAAATTCTTACAACACATTTCAGGATAAACTTGGTATAAAATAAACATAATATCCTAAAAATTTACTGGGAGTACAATAACTTAATTCTTATGTGTTACACAAAATATTTTATTTTTTACTTTTTTGTCTATGGTCAATTTATACATTTAATTGTCATTAATAGTAGGTCAAATTTAGTCTATAATAAGTGGTTTAGGCTCACATTTACTCACAAATGCTGAATTCAGAGTCTGTATGAATTAATATGTGTTATAAAGTGAGTGAAGCATCTTTATTTTCTTTTTTATAATATATTATAAATATTCAGTATTCATAAGACTCACTTTCTTTTTAAAGTTAAAAAATAAATAAGAAGAATTTATTTTTTCTTGTGTAATTTGTAGCTAAGCTTTGGATTCTCTAAAGAAATTTATTCAAACATTGTTAAGGTGCTTTGAAATAGCTTTCAGAGTTCTGTTTAATATGTAAAGAACATAGGAAATTAAAACACTATAAAAAGGTTCAAATTAAAAAAAAAAAACTATTGTTTGAGACTTGTATCTATTGAAATTCTAAGTTATTAGTTGCAAATTCTAAGTTGTTAGTTTCAATTCGAAACAAACAACTTAGAATTTGCACACTATTATTTAAATAGTCGACTAAGATCGTAATTGCCAATATTGAGAGAGCGAGATGATTCCTACACCCTCCCAATAGCTACATCTCTGCCCTTCCTCCCTTCATCTAATTAACATTTAAAAAAAATAATAATCTTTAAAACTGTTCGAAGAGTTTAATTAAAGAGAGAAGACATTTTCAGACAAATTTTAATCTCACAGAGGTTTTAAAACCAATTTGGCAGAATTTAATTATTTTAATAAACTGCATTTTTTAATGATTAAATTTTTGGTTGCAAAAGTTTAGAAACAGTATTGCTTCACAAAATTTAGTACAGATTTAAAAAATATTTAAGTGTTAGCACTTTCCCAAAGTAATGGCTAAGGCTTTGAGACTTGCAGGCATTGAAACATGGGAAACTATAAAAAGGAAAAAAACAAAACAAAAAAGCACAAAAGAGGACAAACTTAATGGGTAACTTTAGGGTACCTCAGGCAAATTTCTACAAACCCATCGACCATTTTTGCCCAAACCAGACAGCATCGCCGAAAGGCAGCTTCTGCGTCAATAACCGCAAATTTGATCATAATTACCGGGTAATTCTTGAGTAAAGTTAATTTTCTTTAGCATGTTGAAATGTACTGTTTTTTTTTTAAACTCTGCTGCAAAATGATTGGAATTTGAGATTTGCCTAGCATCCAAGAGAGGGCAATGGAATATTTTCAAGAGTAAGGAATCACCTCTTCAAAGGAAATGTACGCGAATAGCCCTGATATGGTGTGAATGGGATTGTACATCAAAACTGATAAGCATAGTTAGTATCAAGAATAATTCAATGTGCAATTATAAAAAATATATATATTTTTACTTTGTTTTGATTACACTTTTTATTACATATTTTTAGACATAAATATTTTTTAAAATAATTATTTGATAAATTTAATATCTTTGGAAATTGCTTTTCATTATGATGGCACCAAGGGATTTACTTATTTGTGATGAAAGGTAGATGGGTTGAACCCAAAGTACCTCAAATACTACTTAGTGAGAGTAGCTGGCTCAAAAAGGTTGTGATAAGGAAATATTACCTAATGTAATGTGAAAAAAAATGGCATTTATTGAAACAATTAAGATCTCCAATAATTACATATGAAATCATCATTAAGAAAATTTTCCTTCCCCCCCCAAAAAAAAGAACATACCAGCATGACCTTTAAAGTTTCTTACTATTTCAGCAGTACTAACATCCCAATAAAAAATGCTTTTGTCCTTTGCTGTATGTGATCTATTAGCTGAAGATTAAACTTCTAAGACTTTACATCCAAGTCCCATATAAGTCTTCAAGATCGATGATTTACGAAGAATCTATCAATGAATTATCAGATCCACCGGTTATGCAATAGTTTTCATCAACTAAAAATAAAATAAAAGGGTTTAGCAACAAAAACAAAGAGCATTACAGCATAATTAGTTTACAAAACATACAATTAAAGCGGACTGTGCAAACAGTGCCCTGTTCACAAAATTGATTTCTTAAAATATTAGGATGTCCCATAATAAAAAGTTTTTAGTTTGAAAAAGTTTTTAGCTAACCAAATTTCAAACTTCCAGGTGGATTGATGGGTCTGTATCTCCACTTGCTCTGATCGAAAAAAAATACAACATTAAGTTATAGCTTACATAGCTTACATTACTACAGTTAAAATCTCTGCAATGTGTCAAAAGCTATAAGCTCATATTTTTACAGCGTAAAGCTCAAACATTATTAGAGTGTCTTGCATAAAGTAAACAAATACAAATGACTGCTGTGGATGATATTTAAATAATTAATATATTTTTTATTCAATAATTTCCAGTTTTTAAGTATTTTTCTCAATTAACATTTAAATTATTTATGTTATTTAAACAATTGAGGAGCTCGGTACAATAATAAGGTAAATCTTTTTTTTTTATTTTTTACTGTGAACAATATAGTCAGTGTAAAAACCAACCATAAATGTAAAATTAATCCTCTACAGTGTGATAAATATTGTGTTGAATAACTATGTAAGGTTATAGATTTTGAAGAGAATTTTTTTTTTCTGTGTTTAACTCTCCCTAACTATTTGTGCAACTAAATCTACCTTGTTATATTTCACCATACCCTCTTTGATATATGAGATAGGCTTGTTGATCGTCTAATAAAGTGTTTTGCAAAAAAATTTCCTTATAACTAGAGCCCGGAAGTTCAGGCAAAATGCCATAAATGCCCTTTTCTGCCTTTTTTAAACGTTTTCCTCTGAAAATGCCTTTTTCTTTCCCTTTGTTCATAAATGCCTATTTTTGTCTAATTTAAATTTTTTCTGCAAAGCTTTTTGTACTTTTGACCGAGCATCAATTTTGAAGTACAGAAATGGTTGACTGTCATCCGACGTATTGTAATGCATTTATAGAGATTAGGCCTTTATTCCTTTTGGGACAACTCTCTCCCTCTGAGGCAGTGGTCACCCCTCGCACTGTACAATGGCTATTCATCTGAGCTGATAGGATACTCGTGCTTGAGTGAGCAAGGTGAAAGACATTTTTCTGTCCATGAGATTGACAGTGCTGTTTGAATAGAGAATAGAATACAGAATACACATCCAAGCTGGAAATGCCTTAAAAGTTTTATT